TGTCGCTATATTTATTACAACGTTTCGGCCTCTCAGTATCTGTCTATAAGATGGAATTTTGAATGATGAAACACGCTATTTCCAACATTGGCGTAATACAATCTTCCGACCGCCATTTTTTTTTCGCAACAATTTTGATCGTTTACCGTACTAAGCTAATTTACCAACTATCCTGTTACGATCAAGGCATGCATTTCGAAAGCTGATTTTCAAAGAAGACAAGAACGCGCTATTTTAAATATTGGCGCAACACAATCTTTCAAATCGCAATTCTTCACAACTTTGCCCTGTGGGGAATTAAATTTAGCGTAGTAAATGTCAACACCAATTATAAGGTAAGATTTTGGATGCTGATTTTTAAAGATGACAGGCACTAAGTATCTTAAAAAAAATTAGCGCTGCACAATCTTCCAAATTTTATTTCTTCCCAACTTTGTGTTGAATTGGGTAACTATTAAGAGGCGACAAAAGCGAAATTGCTGAATGTTGATTTTCAAAGAGGCGAGACCAACCATTGAGAAGGTGTAACCATTTGGCGTAACATGATCTTCTTTTCGGTATTTTACACTCAATGTGTCTTACTAAGGAAAAGCTCTATATCTAATGACGAGACAAAATATTTTTAATCCGCGTAATAAATCCTGGATTAGAAACTGTAGATTTAAGAATCAGCAGGTTTGCTGGTTTTTTTTTTATCAAAAGGCTTTAGAGATCTTTAAGTTACCTCGATACCAAAGGTTGATGATCAGGTCACATGGTTATCAATCTTGTGTTCCCTACAGGAAATTCAAATCACACCTACTTTAAGGGAGGGGAGATAACAAAATCCAGATTATTATCGTCTTTCCTTATCACTTCCGGTGTATTTTAGTTTGTTTAGTTTTTTTTTTATGTGATGACAGGCGTATTTCGTAAACGACTGAATAAAATGGATCCTTTTCAGTAAGTGAACTTTTAAACGAGTTGTTCCCAACCGATTTTGGGCAATGCCCGACTTCGGTATTTCTAAAATTATGGTGATCTCCTGTAACATTTAATTCTTACATATTCAAAATTTTACTGCAATTCACATGAAGGAAGATTAAAAGGCCATTAACATGGTCTCTAAACAAGCCTCCAAAGAACATGGCGTCCATGAAAGAGAAAAATTAAAAAACAGTAAGACAATTAATTATATATAGTTTCAAAACATATAATCAGAGAACTGAAAGACTGAAATCTAAAATATTTGAATGAAAGTTTATTCTGTCATATACTTCGATCATTTTAATCCTGAAATAAGAATGCAAAATGAAATTTGAGCTCACTAGAAAAAAAATCCTCTGTTTATAACTCATTCTCGAATTGCCCCCTTATTCTGTTGGTATAGTAATCCGAAGGGTGCACATCTTACGCATGCCCCAGCAAAATATTACCATGCTTCACCAGCGGGTCATGCGCCCCACATTGGGAATCATACTTTAGACGTTGTTCAATTTTGCCATTCCTAAAATCGCCGTTGGTGAAGACTGCAATGTATCTTTGAAGACAGAACAATCCAAGCTAATCGCGTTAACATCGTGATTAGAGACTGCAAAGACATAACGTGCCTCCTTATTGATATGGCAGTCTCTGCAGACTACAATGTATCTTTGAAGATCTTCAAAAAGCTATCAAAATGCAAGGACCTTAAAATCGAAATCTCAAAATTGTGGCACATGAAGACATTCCAGTTGTAGTTGGAGCCCTCGGATCGATTGGAAAAGATTCCAATAGACTCTTTGAATGATTTCTATTGCCTCGTATCTTGAACAGATTTTTTTTAACTCTACGTTTCTTAGATTACAGTCTTATTTGTTCAAGCCTTTCCTGTGAGGTACGCAGATACATTTGACTATTAAGCGATCCTCTCAACTTTGGTCATGAAATCGGCTTTGTCGTTCTGTTGCTATTTTTCCCGAGATATATTTTGGAAATTAGCATGAAAAGATATCGAGCAAGAAGCAAATTATGTAACAACCAGGAGTATTCCATGAATCATAGCTACCATTGGATTTTTAAATATATAAAAGGAACCGGTTAATCCAAAGGTTCATTTGCCTCTGTTTTAGCTGTGAATTCTTGATCTTCGCTTTATTGAATCTTTACTCACATGCTCCATCCATGGTATTCTCAGCATCCTTCTGTAGAACCGCATTTCGGTTGCCTCAAATATTGCTTTACGACTTTCTCGATACTCCCATGCTCCGTTTATAATATCCTCATCATATTTCTGTAGAACCGTATTTCTACTGCCTAGTATCTTAATCAGTTTCTTTACGTTTCTTATACTGCAGTCTTATTTGTTCAAGTCTTTCCTGTGAAGTACGCAGATAACTTTGACTATTAAGACTTTGTTCTTGAAATAGGCTTTGTCTTACTGTTGCTAATTTTTTTTTTCCGGGGAGATATTTCGATTTCACTGTTGTATAAAACACAAAAAATAGCATGAAAATATATCAAGCAAAAAGCAATTTATGTAACAACCGGGAGTATTCAATGAATCATAGGTACCAATGTAACTTCTAAATAAATAAATAAACATAAAGTTTTCTATATAAATAAACACACACACACACACACACACACACACACACACACACACATATATATATATATATATAAAAGGAACAGGTGAATCCAACGGTTTATTTGCCTCTGTTTTAGCAGTGAATTCTTGATCTTCGCTTTATTGAATCTTGATACATTGTTTGAAGATTTTTGTTTCATTGCATCTCCCTATTAAAATAATTGTTGCTATTTTGGGTGGTTTAACTACAATAATAAAACAATAATATTAATAAGACAAAAATTGTACCCACAAGTACGCCTACACCTTACGAAGGGCTTCTTCTATATAAAATATATGCGATTTTTTTTTCAAACGGGCTTAGTGGAAAATGTCATGATGCCATTTCTGACCTTAGGTTTCTGGTCTGGACTCGGAAAGAAATGAGTACACACCAGAAACCAAAAGAAATAATAATAATAATAATAATAATAATAATAATAATAATAATAATAATAACTGCAATGTATCTTTGAAGCTGTCAAAATACAAGGACCTTGAAATAGAAATCTCGAAAATGTGGCATATGGGAACATCAACAATCCCTGTTGTAGTTGGAGCGCTAGGACTGGTTGGAAAAGATTGCAGTAGACTAATTGAAGGGATTCCTGGAAGTCCATGCCTCAAGGAGATACAAAAAATTGTTCTGACAAGTACAGCCCACACCTTACGAAGGGCTTTATCTATGTAATTTTTTTTTTTGTCAGTGGAAAGTGTCATGACGCCATTTTAACTTTAGGTCCCTGGCGGGACCGGAAAGAAATGTGTAAACGCCAGAAATCAAAGAAAATAAAAATAAAAATAATGATAATAATATGAAAATCATTTTCAATATTCAATAGCTCAACATATGTTAATTTTAATTAAATAATACCCTCAGCATTGTATGGATGTAGTCTTCATATATTTATCTTCGGCGCTATATAATCTTAATATTATCGTCTTCATGTGTTCAGTATAGATGTAATTTCGTATATCCATAAATACTATAGAGGCATGTCGCCAAAGTGTTTTGAGTTGTGGGGCGTTGCTATAAGTCGAGTAGTGGTGAGTAAGAATTTGTACAATAAAATCATTTCCCTTAATTTTCCACAGAGTAGGAACCAGATGATAGTTGTAGTTGGAGCCCTCGGATTGAATGGAAAAGATTCCAACAGACTCACTGAAGGGATTCCTTGTAGCCTATACGTGAAAGAAATACAAAACATTCTACTTACAAGTACAGTACACACATTACAAAAGGCATTCTCTATGTAAAAATATGTTTTTTTTTTGTTTTTTTTTTTAAATGCTCAGTGGAAAATGTCAGGATTACCGTTTCTGATCTCAGGTCTCTGGTTGGGACCCGGAAAGAAATGAGTACATACCAGAAGTCAAAGAAAATAAATTAATAATAATAATAATAATAATAATAATAATAATAATAATAATAGATAATAAATGCTTTGCTTCTTTTTAGGTAAACTGATATCTAATTGATCAAATAATATTTCAAAAATAACTAGAGGTTGCCCAGTAAAAAAAAATAAATAAATAAATAAAAATTATTATCACTGTTTTATATCTCAGGAGTAATTGACCTTGAATAAATGTCTTGAATAATTAATGACCTTGAATAATCAATCGACTCACCCATAATTACTTAACCCTGATTGGTTCAATTATGACTAAACAACACTAATTTTGAGCCTTCTTGTATTATTCAGTCCACCCTCGTAAAAGTATTTTTCATGAAAGTCCAGTGGCTGTTATCGCTCTTGCCAGTATTGATGAGGGTAGGTGGGATTGATTTCTAACCTTTTATTTGAAGCAGCGTGGGATGTCACCATCTTGATTATGTCATTATTTTCTAAAAAGGCTTTCACTGTATTCGTGTGCATATAAAATCTGCGGTCAGTTGCTTTCAACGAGGAGGCATGCTCGCAAAGCAAATCAATGGTTATCTCCCTTGGGCTCAAGTATGGCCGCGAGCGGCGTTGTTACAGCGTGGTTTGTCTCTTCGCATCTTTATCGCTCTTTGATCGATATAAATCTTGGGCCCCCACTTCTTTATTTTTTTTTTTCATGAACCATGCCGCACTCTTCTGTTAACTTCTTTCAGTAATAAGTGGCCATTTTTTATTATCTCAACTACGGCCGTCCATTCAAGCCAACCGAACAAATGAAGCCATTTTGGCCTTCCGTGCATCTTCCGTCCGATCTACCATTTTTTTGTTGTTGTTTTTATATAACTTCATGTCGTCTCTCTTATCGACCGAGCTTGCTTCTTTAATTTATTAACATCCTTTTCTGTTATTATTATTTTGTGTGTGTGTGTGTGGGAGGTGTTTTATAACGGTTTTCATTCAGATTTATGGATTGTTTTTTTTTTCTTCGTTGTTACCTTTATTTCTTTGCTTTACATCCATATTTTATGATTCACTTTCTTTCTTTTTCTTTCCTTCTTCCTTTCATTCTTTCTTCCTTCCGTTCTTTATTTCTTTCTTTCTTTCTTTCTACACTCCTTTCTTCTACCTTTATTTCCTCTAGTATTTCTTTATCATTGTTTCTTTCACTTTCTTTCTTTCTTTCTTTCTCTTTTCCTTCAGCCTTTTCACACTTTTTCTTTCTTTCTTTCTTTCTTTCTTTCTTTTTTCCTTCAGCCTTTTCACACTCTTTCTTTCTTTCTTTCTTTCTTTTTTCCTTAAGCCTTTTCACTCTCTTTTTTTCTTTCTTTCTTTCTTTCTTTCTTCAGCCTTTTCACTCTCTTTTCTTTCTTTCTTTTTTTCTTTCTATCTTTTTTTCTTTCTTTCTACACTCTTTTCTTCTACCTTTAATTCCTCTCGTATTTTTCTATCCTTCTTTCTTTCTTTCTTTCATGTTTTTCTTTCTTTTTTCCTTCGTTCTTACTTTCTTTCTTTCTTGTTTCCTTCAGCCTTTCCACTTTTTTTTCTTTCTTTCTATGTTTCTTTCTTGTCACTCAATTTTGTTCTTACTTTACGTCCTTCAAAGTTGCTTTCTTTCTTTCTGCCTTCCTTTCTTTTTTTCTTTTAACCTCCACCTTTTCTTATTTTATTTCGTTCAGCCTTTCCCACACTTTTCTTTCTTTCTTTCTTTCTTTCTTTCTTTCTTTCTACACTCTTTTCTTCTACCTTTATTTCCTCTAGTATTTCTCTATCCTTATTTCTTTCTTTCTTTCTTTCTTTCTTTCTTTCTTTCTTTCTTTCTTGTTTCCTTCAGCTTTTCCACTCTTTCTTTCTTTCTTTCTTTCTTTCTTTGTCTTTCCCCTTATTCCTTCCTTTCTTTCTTTATCTTTTATCACCTTTCTAATTTCTTCTTTCTTTATTCTTCTAGTATTTCCCCTTTCCTCTTTCCTTCCTTCCTTGCTTCCTTTTTTCCGGCATTTCTCTCCTTCGTTCTTTCTTTCTTTCTTTCTTTCTTTCTTTCTTTCTTTCTTTCTTTCTTGAGGTAGAATGTTCTAGTTCTACGTGTCTAGTCTCTTCCGGATGCCATCAAAGATACTTGGCCCAGTGTATAAAGACTTTGGTTAGATCAAGAGACTACACTCAAGATTTGTGGGTTCAATACTAGGCCACAGCAGTGGTTAACCAAAACATGGAGAGTTGCTTTAAAGGGAAATAACTGAGACATCCGCAAAAAAGGCATGGCACGTGGAAATAGAACCATCTGCCCCGATGGACGAAAGAAAGGGTTCGGTTCGAAATCCCAATCACCTGAAGAAGCCTGGAGCGTACAACGACCGAGACGTTGTAAATATAGCAATGAAGATGAGGACAACAGTCCGAATAATGTAAATAGTGCAAGTAATCATAATACATCATCTTAGAGACATAACCAGCTTATATATATATTTATTTTCACATAGCAATCTTCTACACCAACATAACAAAATATCATCTTTGATGGTGAATATCTTTGTCAAAAATGACCGTATAACCACTCTGAAGATGGCTCATGTGAGCCGAAAGGTTAGATCAAGGAAAAACTTAATAAAAAAATATCCAAATATTGGACAATTTTTGTTTTTATTTTCACCCGAAATTCAAGCAAACATACGAGCATTAGAACGGCTCATGATCAGACGTAAGAGACATTTATTGTCTGTTATATTTAACAATATATGTTTAAATAATGATTTGTTGCCCAATATATATATATATATATATATATATATATATATATATATATATATATATATACTTTATTGTTTAAGCATTAAAATGAATTATTTCTGTAAAAAATGAAATACAATTTTCCGAGCTGAAGAAAACACTAGAACGCCCAAGAATTAACAACGGTAGGACATGTCTAGAAAACCGGAAGTCAAAATGGCTACAGTTGAAAGAAAAGAAGGAAAAAAATAAGAGAGAGAAGGTTACAGAGTGATTGTAATGTGAAGGAAAAGACGAAAAGGCCAATCATGAAATTCTAGACGTACGCACAATGGCTAAGATAGAGCGTATGTACATATAAAATTAGACATTGTGTTCAACACCCGGCGACAACTGTCAGGTTCATGCTTAAACGCAATCGTTAATTAACAATATAATGAATGTATGTGTATGTATGTATGTGTGTGTGTGTGTGTTTGTATATATATACATATATATATATATATATATATATATATATATATATTTATCTGACTCTCCCATCGAATTCGACGTATGAGTGTCAAGCAGATCAGTTCCCAGGAAACCAACAGCCTGACAACATGAGATTTGATTATAGTGGTGAAGGTTTCGTGCAGAACCATTCACACTTTTTAAAGGGCCGAATATGGAGACCTGGTGCAATACGTGACACAAGGTCCCCGAACGACCCGCCGCAGGTTTTGAATTCAGAGTTGTCCTTGCCATCCAAGGCTATAGAACCCAGTCTGTCCTGCTATTTACCCATAGCTGGAGGGAGAA